TCTTTTCTATCATTTTGAGTTGATGAAACAAGAAAAAGAAAATCAACAAAATCCCAGAATTTTCAAATGATTTGGGAAAAGCTTTAATTTGGTTCAGGCACTTATCCATTCAATATTCTCTTTGCCCATCAGATGGAATTCTTTGAGAAAAACACTCTTATCTCCTTCCCCCATGTAAAGTAAGAAAGATGATTTAAAAGTTCTAATAGTCAATAATCTAGGAATGATGAATTGCCTCATACATAAATTCCTGAAAAGCCAAAGAAAAGGAAAGGAATTTTACTTTGATTTGGGCCTATATCGTTAATAACTATAATTTCACATTTTACATATTCTGCTCATGTGCCCATATAATATATTTTCTTACAGAAGTTGATATCACTGACTCAAAATAGACAATAAAAAACCCAGTTTGTCAATGAAATTAATATGATCATCTGGACTTGGATTTTAGGCAAATATAAAAGATAAGCATCTGAAAAACAAGTTTAAAATTCAGCGTAGATCAGAAGAATTAAAGTCACCCTAACAACCACTCATCATCAGAATATCTTAGGTATTCAGTAGGACCAAATTCCTACCAATTTTGGAGAGAGAAAAAAATCACCTGACAGCCTAGGAAAACAACATACTATTTTCTCCCTAAATAAACTTTCCTATTTCAATCTCCACACTGTGCTGGGATTAGACTTGTGACCTTAAAAGGAAGCAGCAGCTGCCTAGTTTTGCATCGTTGCTCTGCTTCATGGAGAAATCACTCCAAGAATGGAGCAGATATGTAGACCATTTCTGGCCTGTGAATTCCATATAAACATTTTAAACTTCAGCAGGCTGAACCTGGAAGGTATACAGAGTGCTCTGAAAATGGGGGTCTATTTTACAGTTTTCTAAATTTCATTATTTGGACATTGTGGGAATTATGGCTAGAAGAAGCTGTGTTCTTAGGGTCATTTCTAGTCCCTGCACACACACACACACACACACACACACACACACACACACAATTTTTGAAACACTCATAGACATAACTTCCTTAATCATTTAGACCACATTTTTGTCTCTGCAGATCGAGAACCCCCTCAGCTAAAGAGACTGCTCCGTTCCTACCACAGGAAGCTTGCTTTACAAAAGCAGCAGTTACAAGGATTCCAAAAGAGTATCAAACCTGTCCTGATTTGCTTGACTGACTTCGCTAAGACCTCAGTAAGGACCGACCTCTTCACACATACACAGGATACATGTACAGCACCTTATATGAGGGAGGGAGAAACATTTCCTCCCTGTACCAATTCCACCAGTGCCCTGCCAGTGCCCTATGGTTGGCAAGAGTGAAGCTGGGCAAGGCCAGTACCAGTCCCTGCCCACTGATAGCACCGTAGATGGTCCACAGCCCAGAGGCAGGCTTATCCCAGGAAGTTTACAGCTTCTCACACCCATTCCAGACCTGTGGACCAGCAGCTTCAGTTACATGTTCCACCTTCCTTCCACTGCCCAACATTACCCCTACTGAGTGCACCAGGCATGACATCTTTTGCATGGTGAGTACAACATGTCACAAGATAATTTGTATACAACCCCATGTTTATACAGAGATATATCCACTTGTTAGAGCTGGTCTGACAATGTGCCCACAGTCCAGGTGGTTTAAACAGTAGGAGTTTGTTGTCTGGTACTTCCGGAGGCCAGAAGTCCATGATCGAGGTCTTGGGAGGGTTGCTTCCTTCTAAGGACGGCAACTGTCTATTGTATATCACTTGCCTGGCTGCTGGTTGTTTTGGCAATTCTGTGACATACTTCTGTCTACAGGAACATCTTTGACATACTCACCCTGTAAGCATGTTTCTATGTTCAAATGTCCCCTTTCATAAGAACAAGAGGCACATGGGTTTGGGGCTCATCCCGATGACTTCTTCCCTCCTTGTACCTGTTACCGACACAGTAACTGCCAACATGAGATGACATTCTAACCTATAAAGAACTAGGATGGCCACAGATACACTTTTATTTTTAGGCACAGGCTTATAGACATTTTGTTTGTATTTAACTTTTGGCAAAATAGAAACTTTGGTCATAGTTTTATAAAAAAAAATTCCAAAGTTCTTCCTGGTTAAAATACTATAATAGCAAGTGAGTCATAGGAATAAGAAAGTAAACAGTCCCATGTCTAATGTAACAGTGAAAGTTCTTTTACAAGAGTTTTAAATATAAGTGTGCAATGCTTTCTTAAGGAAAGCAGGACCAGTATAAAGATAAGACCCTCGTTGCCATGAAGGATTTGTGTTAGGTAATAGTGTTCTCCTGGATGCACAAGATGGGAACCTATCTACCCAAAGATTTAAAAGTCATTTGGAAGATGACGTCAGGTGACTAGGATTGCTGACATCCCCTTCCTGGAATCCACAGTAAGACATCTGCAACAACATCTGGTCTACATTTCAGTGCTCTAGAGCGCCAGAACTCTTCTCTCCCAGTCCATCCACAGATCAGTAAAGTCACCATACAAAATGTAGACAGGGTTGGTCACACCTCCAGTTTGGAGTGTACATAAAAATAAACACACATTTCCTAGATGCTGGATTGTATGTAAATTAGCCAACACAACTATTTGGAAATAATACTAGGTAGTTTGTTAGCATAGCAAGCTCTTAGTCAAAAGTCTTGAAACCAGAACAACCTGCTTTGGTGTGGTTTTTTCCTTCACTGAGCAACACCACAGGATGATAATGACCACAATCACCAGGACACTGACCCCTATGGCCCACACCTTGAAGTTCTTCAATCAGTACTTTCTCTTCAATTTGACAGTGACTGTTTCAAACTAAAAAGCACCTGCCTGCGCTGCTTCCACATGGTCATCTGACTCCAAGAGCATCTGGTCTCTCACACGATATGCACACTGATTCTCACATGTCAACTCATCTACTCATTAAAGTCAAGGAGATAAAAAAAAAAAGCCATTCAGTTTTACAGAGCTCCAAAATTCTGGGATTTTCGTCTGACTTTATTAGTCCGGGAATCAATGAGAAATATCAATAATATTTCTCTACTAGTGGCTTGTGTTTGCCCTACCATTCATAACTCACTTCTGCTAAGTGACCAAGAACCAACATTCCATGACTGCTTAGTGTACCCTCGTACCAACAGACAAAAAGGAGTGCAATTTGGACCTCATCAAGTTGGAATCTGCACCCCAAAAGGCTAGAGCGGGGCTCCATCAGAAAGTCAACTAAAGCTGACCAGAGAGCCAGTTTAAACCCAATTCAAGAGAACCTGCTTCTGGAAGTGCCTCTCACCAGAGGCACGGTCCACATAATCCATGCAGTTCTGGTCTTTAAATTCCTGTGGAGCATATTGCTTGCACATTCTGTTACAGTTATAGGGTATGTGGTTATGATTTACTGAAAAGACACCCTGTAACCTTTAAATTCTTTCTACCTGCATTATTACTTTATTTATACAATTGTTGACAGTTCTGTATGCAACACATTCCAGTTAAGCCAAGTCTTGGCTTATAAAGAGTAGAAGAGTCAATCTTCAAAACCTAACCTCTTAGATTACAATAAAAGCCTTTGAGGATAAAATGGAGACACCTACACCTGCTGCCTGGCGTACCTACACACCTGTGTGGTATAGAAAAGTCAGTAAGATTTGTAGAGTGGAAGAAAGGAAGCTAAGAAAGTTTAAGAGAGTGGTGTAGGAGCGACAAAAGACACCAGCTGTTTAAAAATCTGGCTCAAGACCCTTACCAGATACGAATGAGGACTAATTAGAGGTAAATATTCTTGTACTTAACAGTGTCTCTTGAGAATTAAATTCATATATTTATGACAATTCATTCCAACTATTAACTACCAATGAATTTTAAAAGGCAAAAAATTAAATGTGATATAAAGCATTATAAAGTTCTAAAATGATCAGAGAACAAGCAATCCTGAGCTGCTACTGCAGGGGGATTTCAGGACATCTTGTATCAACAATTATGGTGTCTGCTCTTGGCCAAGTGGAGATCACATACAGACACCATTGGTCCACAGAGTAGAAAGCTCTAACTACACAAGCTCAACATTACTTCTTTATCTCAAATATATATTCCATCAGAGTACGAACATTATTGATTTAGTTCAGAGCTGGTCCCAGGTCCGTGACTACAGTAAAAGTTCAATAATTATTTATTGAATGACCCCATGGTTGAATGAATATCCATAGACCAGTGTCGAATAGATGGGTAGTTCCAAAAAAAACTGAGCCATGACTGGACATAAAAGTTTTTATGTGCTGCTTAGAATAGGGTATATAATTTTCTCTCAATATATTGATTAAATACATCTAGAAAAATGAAGAAAGCCCAAGTTTAAAAAGTCAGTTCAAAAATCAGAAATGTTTCACCCATCTAACAAGATGCTAGTCAATATATTTTCTAGAGATGCTTGTTTGCATCTTCAGTGACATCCATAAGGTGTCAACTTCTTTTTGCTTGTCCACTCTGCCACCTTCACCATGACATCCCAATATCTTATCTAGTTCTCATGGTCACATGATGCATGGCATATCTAAAAACCTGGCATCATTTCTCCATGTTAAACAACAGAAAGATGAGCTACTGTACTTTCCCCTGAGCCTAGATTGAGGATCAAAATCTTGCTTCCAAACCAACTTAACAGGTCTATCCTCACTGGTCAGAATTCTATATCCCATTCCAGAATGAGATGCTGTCAACTGAAGGCTTTATCATAACAGAATTAGAGTTACAAAGATTTACGCCCTGGATAGTGAAGGAAGCGATCAGCCTCCCTGCATGGCCATACACAACTGACTACTAAAGTAAACTAACTTGGTGTGAAAGCAAAGGATGAATGAATTGCTTGAATGATTATGTGCAGAGTTTGTTGAGAAGCTTCCTGCATAGGTCAAGTTGGCCTGTAACCCCTACCCCACTGTTTCACTACCCCACCCCTATTCCTGAAGCTTGGTTGCCATATTTAGAGTAGATATGTTCTTACCTGCCTTTATAGCATCAAGAGAACTAGGAAAGATTGGTTTCGTCTTCTCTAGACTGCAGCCCTCATAAGGTCAATATTACCAGCCATATAAGACCTGTAATACATCATTTGATTTGATAAATGAAAATAAGACAATTTGTTTCAAATATACACGTGCTTCCAAAAATATATATTTCTGTGTTGATGCTTGGTCTGTTTCTATATATTGTAATGCCAAATTCTGTTCTGTAAAATCTATGCCTACTTGCAAATTCTCACACTTTTAAGCTTTTGCTATGTAAACATTGTTCCTTGATTTAAAATTATTGGTTAGATAAAGTTGGCTACAGCCAAATTACTGGAGGGGTTAGAGATAGGTGGATTTTGAGTTACCTAATTGAAGGTGGAGAAGAAACAGGGAAAGAGGAGAGACCAGCAGGAGAAAGAGGAAGAATGAGAGAGAGGAAGAAGCCACTCTGAGGGGAGATGGATCATGAGCACGTGGCCAGGAGAAACAGCAAGTATCTGACATACACAGCTAGGAAGATAGCCAGACTAGCACTTAGAAGAGTAGATTAGGTGTTAACCCCCAGTAATTGTCAATGCCAAATAAAATAACCATAGTCTGAGTCTCATTTATTTATAAACTAGTTGGGGGTAAGTTTAACTTGGTTCTACTACGCCTATAGAATGCCTTGTATGCCTTTTATAATTGGGATTTAGACAAAGATCATTCTTGCAGCCTGCCTCCCAGTCCTGAATAAACAGTATATTCAGACTTATCAAACAGTATATTCAGACTTATCTAGACTGTCTTCCTTCCCTACTTCCCTCATTTTTGAGATGTCCCCAAATAAGTTAAAACTTGAAGACCCTGGATTAAGTTTGTAACCTGGCCGTCCCAACCCATAGCCGGCACAGCAAAAAGAGGCCCTGAACTCACAAACTGTGAAGGACCACAAGACACTTACAGACCTCCCACCTCTTCACCTCTCACCGAATCTAGATTTTCTGTTTTCCTTCATGAAGAGCTATAACATAGAAGAAACAAGTCGGAATTATTGGACCACCTTTCAAGCCTCTAGCCTAGACACAAATGGTTTGAGAAATCCTTGGCAAAAGTAAAACACAGCATTCACTGATGAGGAAGGTTTAACCATTTCAGCAGAGACAGAGCTGAGTGCACATGCTCACACTCTCACACAATATATTAAACATGCCTATCTGTTGCAAAGAAGACTGTGGGACAGGCAAACATTCTGTCAATCCTAATTACCTTGCTGGGACCATGTTTGTTCCTCCAGGCTCTTTGCTGTCTGGCATCCGCGCTCTGCATTAGCTGAGATCCTAGCCAGCTGAGGAAGATTGAGAGGCCATCTTGCACTTGAGCCTGTGAACTGTCATTCTGTGTCTCTTCAGGTTTGTGACAAGGCATGCCTTTCCAATGAGCTGTCAGTTTGATCCCCAGCTTGTCAAAGCAGCTGTGTGCACAGAGAGACCTTTAAAATATCATATAGTGCTGGCCTGATCTTACCCATGAAATGGTAGCAAAGAAGGCATTACTCAAGGATAGAAAAGAAAAAACTACAGAAACAATTAACTCACTAATTAATTGGATTTGTGGTCAATAACTATGATCCAAAAAAGAAAAGAAATTACAGTCACCACCCAGACTCACAAATTAATACTCTAAATGATCCATAGAGATACAAGCAGAAATTCACTCTACTGGGTTAATGCATTGAAAAATCAGGTTGAGTTGATGGGTTGCATTGATTTCCTTAACATTCTACTCCACTAGCAGGAAAAATAAATACACACACACACACATGGCTGAAAGAGCATCTTGTATATATATATGTATGCATATGTGTGTATGTGTGTATATGTATGTGTATGTATATGTATATACATATATATGCACACACACACACACACACACACACATATATATATATATATATATATATATATATATATATATATATATATAAATATATATATATATATATACACACACATACACAAACATACGTAACATATACATATGATGAATGGTATCAATCATCATGATACAGGAATTTTTTGTAGTCCATAATATTTTCCCTGAAATTAATATCCTTCAACTACAAACACATTTAAAAGATCAACTGAAGAATTAGCACTTGGGAATAGTTTTTATTACTGTTCTAATGCCAAGGGTGGGAAACAAAAGATGCCTTCGTTGTATCTGTAATTCATCCCTTTGGTCACCACGGAGATAAGGGTATAGCCATAAACTCAAGAGTCCTTGACATCTCCTTTACTTTGTCTCACTTTTCACTTAAGAGTGATGCTTCATAATATGTCTCATGCATGCGTGTGCGTGTGCATGTGTGTGTGTATGTGTATATGTGTGTGTGTGTGCTATGTCTGAGATGTTCACTCCACATTTTCAGGAAAGAAAGAGTAATACTGAAGAATGTGTCCCTCTCATAGGGACATTGTTTCCAACCATAGTCCCAGAGCAATGCTCTCTAGAAAACATTGCTTTTCAGAAGCTGGTCTGAAAGAACATCTTGCACGAGAAGAACCATTATCATTTTTGAACTCTAGCTGTGTGACTTTGATTCTTTGTGTGCTGTTTAACCTCTTTATGACTGAGCTCTCATATATATAAACTATGCATACTTAATAATATCATGAAGGGTTGCCTGATATTAAATGAGGTAATATTTGCTTACCACTTATTAAAGAGCCTTGTACCTAGTAAACACTGCATCATCATTGGCTTTCGTTATTAATCTAATGATATATATTAGTTTGATTTTGTATTTTCATCAGTGTTTACCACTTGTTACAAATACATTTCCATCATTCTAGTTAGCTGCAAAACGCCTGCTTTGTCTTTGACATTTGTTACTACATATTTCTGCTAAATTGCTTTTATTACTATATGTCAGTTATACATATACGTTGAGGGGTTTTATTATAATATTTCCTGTACACATATAATATACTTTGTTCATGTTTACCCGTTTATTACATCCTTCATATGCTTATATATTTTATAGCATCACATAATAGAATGACATATATTGCTGAATGTATCAGCTTTAAACAATATACACTGAGCCAACAAAAAATTTCAGGAATTAACTATAACGTAGCTTCAGACTCTACAGCCTATTGTTATGTAGTCTTGGGCGAGCACTCCTTATTTATCAACCAGTATCACATAGTCTCACACTAAGCAGAGGGTACAGTGACATCTCAGGTCATCCAGAGGAATCATTTTACCTCCAAGCAGGAATACAATCACCTCTTCATGATTTGGACACTCTGTCCTATGAATAATTATCCTTTTAAAGATAAGACATTTCTTCGGGAAAGGTTAGGGGTGGCTGTGGGGAAAGAACTTTACAATTTAGTTTTACTAAGTTACCATGGCAGCAAACAAATTCCCCTAAACTTTGGATCCTTAAATCGTCATTATTTCTCATGTTTGTGTAGATTGAATGGGCTTCAGCCAGAGGTTCATTCATGGAGTCTCACCATGTTAGTGTCAGATGGAACTGGCGCTGGGCCATCTGAAAGCTGGACTGGGCTTTCTATAATGGCTTTCCCATTCACAGCCTGGTGCTTGCCAGCTTCCTGGACTTTCTCCATTTGCATAGCTCAGGTTATTTTCATAAACATTAATCTCAGAGTATCATCATTTCTTATATGGTGGCTAAATTGCAACGGGCAAGAAAATGACTTGAAACATCAGACTAAGCCTACACTTAAGTGTTGGCCTAAGAACTCTTCCACCACAAGCTAAAGCAGCCCTTGAAACCATACAGATTAAAATCATCAAAATAATAATCTCCATCTCTTGATAGAAAAGGTTACACTGAAGAAGAAAATGACAGTCGAAGCCATTGTCTTTTCTCTTTCTTAAGAGTACAGCCTGGCTCAGGACTTATGGTATTCATTGAACCAAGGCTCTTCTTCATACTAGGCATAAGCAATTTATAAACCTTCCAAGGATCATGAATAGGTCAAAGAGCTATGAGTCTTTTGGAAAGTAGAAGTCAAACCAAAACTCACACGTGAAAATTTTCTGATTGTGCATTACACATGTTTCTTAATGTGTTACCACATCTCAAAATAATAAAATGGCCAATTTGGCAAGTTGAGTTGGAGGAGAAGAAGAGAAGAAAGCCTCTGGCATCAGGGATAAATACTGGAAGATAGTCACAGACATAGTCCGTGGTCATTCTCTAGAGGAGTACTATAACCAAAATTGGCCAATAAAATTGAAAACTCAGAGAAATTGAAAACATGATCAGAAACAGAACCATCAACTCAACAATAAAATTTTCAGTGTAAAATTTTAAGTGTGGTACCTTATAACCACATAGCAGATAAAATCAGTAATTTCCACTCCTATTCTTGTCAAAACAAAACAAAAAAAACAAAAAACTTTGTTCCAGTAGTTGCATGGGAGAGTTCTACTAAAACTTCAAAAAAACAGATATTTTTAAAATATTTAAATTAAAATATAATTATATCATTTCCTCTTCTACTTCCTCCTCTAAAGACTCCCATGTACCCCTCCTCCACACACTCTATGGGCTATCCCAAAGTTGTGCTCCCCTTTTCATTAATTAATTATTGATATATATGTTCCTAAATTTATAAATACAGCCTTCTCAGTCCGTAAAATATTGCTTGTATGTATATGCTTGATGTTGGGTCACTAATTGTGTGGCTCTTCCTTGGGGAAGATTATGTCTCCCCGTTCTCAGCATTCCCTAGTTCTGTAGTTCTTTGTCCAGAGTTGGGGCTCCATGGGATTTCTCCCTCACATGTTAGCATGTCTCTTGGTGTCCTGGTCTTGTTTAGGCAACCACATTGATGAGATTTCATGAGCATAGCTTCTCTGACATTTCTAGGTGAGATGGATGCCCAGAGAACTGACTGTTCCTCCAGCTCTTACAATCTTTCCAACCACTGTGATCCCTGACATGAACGGGCAGAGTTTGTATTGTAGATGTATCAATTGTATCTGGCACCATATGGTCACTTGTTCTCTGAATTTTGATCAGTTGTGGTTTTCTG